AAGAGGGGTGGGGAGTGGAAGATGTTCCTGGTGGTGGGGTCTAATTGGAGTTGGTGGAAGTGTTTGAGGATGATACGATGGATACTGAGGATGGTTAAGTGGAAAGTGAGGACAAGGGGGACCCTATCTTTTTATGTTTTGGGGGCTCGAGTTTACAGCTATTGAGCAGGAAATGAAGGAGGCGGTAGAGGGCTGTCTGAATGACAGTGGGGGGAAAAGAACTTTGTTTGAAATAGGAGCACATCCGGGATATTTGGGAGTGGAACGTCTCCTTATCAGAGCAGCTGCGACAGCGGTGGAGGAATTGGGCAAACGGGATGGCGTTTTTGCAGGATACAGGGTGGGAGGAGGTGTAGTCCAGGTAGCTATGGGAGTTTATAGTAAAAGATGGTTCGTAACCTGTCGCTAGAAATGGAATCTGAGAGGTCAAGAAAGGAGAGGGAGGTGTCTGAGATAAACCAATTGAATTTGAGGGCGGGGTGGAAGTTGTTAGCGAAGTCGATTAAACTGCTCCAGTTCAGCCTGGGTGCAGGATGCAGCACCGACTCAGCCATTGATGTAACAGCGGAAGAGTTGGGGAGCAGTCCCGGTGTACATTCTGAAGAGGGACTGCTCAACGTAACCGATAAAGATGCAGGCGTAGATGGGGCCCATGTGGATGCCCATGTCCACCCCGCCTGGATTTGGAGAAAGTAGGAAGAACTGAAGGAAAAGTTATTGAGGGTGAGGACTAATTCGGCGAGGCGGAGGAGGGTATTGGCGGGGAGGACCGGATGAGTCTGTTGGAGAGGGGAAAAAAACTGAGGGTCTACAGACCATAATTGTGGGGTATGGACGTGTACGATGTATGGACTGCACGTCCATAGTAAAGATGAAGAGCTGGGGGGCAGGGATCTGGAAGTTTCTGAAGAAGTGGAGAGCGTGGTTTGTGTCCAAGAGGAAGAGGAAGGTTGGAGATAGGAGAAGCGGTCCTCAGAGGATGGTTGGGAGTCTTATCAAAGAAGGAGACAGGAGGCGGTGGAGGAAGAGCTCTACGTCATGGCGGGCATGGAGCTCATTGAGGTGGGAGCAGAGGGGAACCAACATGAGCCCTTTACTGAGGACAGACTGTTCAGGAGGGATGATGAATATGCAGCAATGTTCAGGGGTGGGGTTTTGGGGGGCTGGGGGTGGTCTTGGAGGCATCATACTCAATGATGTCCAGCTGGCTGACCTCGTTAGAATCACTTCACCTTTTAATGTATAAAAAAAATTCCCTAGCCCTCCCTCGCTTTTGCTTCGCGTTTGCTGTAACGAGCTTTGCATATAAAAATCTAATTGGCTGTACTGATGGATAATAACTACAAAAAGGTGACACCATGATTTGGTTTTTGGGAAGCTGTATGCAAGACCACTTCTGGATTGAAAACAAATACATGCAAATGAAGCAGACCCAGCAGCTCTGAATGGGTTGGTTAGAAAATAAAACAGACCCACGGTTTTTAAAAAAATCGGAACTGTCTGTCCTGGGCTGAAACAAGGCTAATGTCAAAATAATGCTCTATGTTGGTGTTCACTGATAAATGATATTCCTTCCATTTGGGCTTCTTAAGTTATTACACAGACTATTTTTAAAAAAAGGTGTACGGTAAACCCGAAGTAATAGCCCAGTTAGCCTGACTTTGGTAATACGGAAAATTCTGAAAGATTTAATAGTACAGCAGTTGAGAAACAGTGTAATTTTAAACTGAGGCACAGAAATTTCTCACCCAGCAGGTGGTGAGCCTGTGGAATTCTCTACCACAAAAAGCGGTTGAGGCTAAAACATTGAATGCTTTCAAGAAGGAGTTAGATGGAATTCTTAGGGTTAAGGGAATTAAAGAACATGAGGACAAATCGAGATCGGAGTACTGAGATGGATGATTAGCCATGATCTGTTGAATGGTGGAGCAGGCTCGAAGGGCTGAATGGCCTACTTGTGCTCCTGTTTCCGAAGTTTCTACATTATACCCCTTTGATCCAACAGTTGTGACTGCAATTTCCTAATTTCCTTTCTGCACTCGTAATGGTCAACCTGCGAGTGTGTCTCCTCCTCCTCCTGTGAATGATGTAACATTTTTAAAGAGCCTGTCAACCATTACATTTTTGCTCTGTGTTAACTGTTGTTTAGCTTGTTCTACTTCCTTCTTGGCCTTTATGCAACTATTTTCACCCTTTTCAGCCTGAACTTGAAATTGACTCAAATACAAACCTTGCATTTCGTTACTTCTCTCTGCTTTTAGTTCCCTCTGTCACTATTTTTCCTTCTCCTTACCAGCTGGTCTTTTAATTTCTGGATCTTTTCTTCCTTTTTCATTTGCTCCTCTTGAAGATGTCTTCTTTAATTTCTGGATCTCATTTTTTTTTCCATACACTTCCCCCTGGTATTGCTATAAGTTTTTGTTAACTTAGACACTCATTTTCCCTGAGCTTCATGTGTGAATACTCCCAGTATTGTTCTCCCATGAACCCATGGTCCGTAAACTGCTTAATCACAGCATATATCCATTTTGGCCATTTCTCATTTCCATAATTCTGCAGTTGTAATTCCTACTTGGATTGTTCTGCCACCATTTTAAGTCCTTTTATAGCAATTCACCCGTAATCAATGGCTATCCCAGCTTGTGGTTTTTAAGTTCAAATTTAGCAAAACCTATTCTCAGCTACTATAACTAAGTCCCACCTGGTGGACAGAAAGTGCTGCCCTTAGCTCTGATCCTTAATTTGTCCATCTAAGAGGTTACAGCTTCCGGTAGGATGGCAGTGGAGTAGGGCTTCTCATCCGCTCTGCCTGCTTTTCTTTTCGTTTCCTCCTTTTTTTCTCTCTTCCCTTTTATTATTTCTAACTCGCAACGTGTTGAAGAGGTCGTTCGCGGCGACAGCATTGGCGTCAGCGGGTAGGCCTGCCGGTGACAGCAAAGGCGAGTTTGGGTTCCTGGTGGCTTCTGCATTGTTGAGGCAATCCCAGTGCTGACTCACGGCCCCTGCGGCGGAGGCAAGTTTGTGTTTCCCGGCAGCATTCACGTCCGCCGCAGATTCGAGAAGGTGGTGGCAGAGGCGAGTTTGGGCCCTATACAATTTCCGGCGGCATCGGCAGCGGCTGCATCGGCGAGGTCCATCGAGGACTCACAGTGGCAAGGACATCGGTGAACCAGTTCAAATCCCGCCATGGCAGATGGTGGAAGTTGAATTCGATAAATATCTGGAATTAAGAATCTAATGATGACCGTGAATCCATTGCCGATTGTCGGGAAAAACCTGTTTGGTTCAGTAATGTCCTTTAGGGAAGGAAACTGCCGTCCTTACCTGGCCTGGCCTACATGTGACTCCAGACCCACAGCAATGTGGTTGACTCTCAACTGGCCGATGGGCAATAAATGTTACCTAGCCAGCAACAGCCTCATCCCGTGAACGAATAAAGAATAAAGAATCAGTGGAGGTGAGATGGCACCGAAGACCGGTAACTTCCATTCTGGCAGCATGGTGAAGGGGATTCATGCCTGGCCATCAGGCCCATGGCCCATGACAGCACTTAACAAGGAGGACTTAAAAACACTGCTTCTTCATTTTTCTGCCTTTTATATTCTATGTTTCTTTTTCCATGTTTTAAGTTGGTGCCGGAGAGTGGCAACACTATACAACACTCTTCACTGTATTTTGTAACAAAATACGCATAGCAAATAAATGACCAAGGTTTAAATGTATTTTGTTGTAATATTAATGAGTACATAACAAAATACAAGTACTTTATAACCTGTAAAGAATACTAACTTGAGGTGAACAGTCTCAGCTTCAGGGCTGTTTCTCGCTGGATCCCTGACCCATGGCTCCTTCAATGAGTGTTGGTTCTCGCTATCACTTATCTTTATTTCAGTGTTTATATTTTCATCTTGGTCTGTACTTTGTTGATTGCTCAGGGAGCCAACCAGTGATTGACAACCCAATATTCAATGACTTCTGGTACATTTGATTAACTCTACATTCCATTGAGGTCCAACAAATATCCATCCAGCTGTAAGTTTCAACTGGTGTCCTAACACTGTAGCTTTTTTGCTATGTTTCTTATCAAGCACAAACAATACTCTGTTTGCGATTATTAACCCCTCATTTTCTGTAGCTTGTAGTATTACAGAGTTCACTAGAGTCCAAAATCCACAAAAGAGCGATTACACAATTGAAGGATCTATTGCCTGGAATTTAGAAGACTAAGATGCACGTTGATCAGGAAACCATGATATAAAAGTGAATGGATGGGTTTATAGAGAGAAACTAATTCCACTGAATGAGAAAACTCAGACAAAGGCCATTCCATAAAAGTTAAAGCCAGAACTTTGGGAAGTGAAAGTTTTAACATGCAAAGGGTGGTAAAAGTTTCAAATTAACTTCAATAAACAGCTAAAGATGCTATATCAGTTGTTAGTTTTAAATCTGAGAAAGAGTTTTGTTGACATAAGACACTAAAGGGTATGAAGTAAGGGCAGATGCATGATAGTAGTTCACAGACAATGACCTCCAGTTCACCTGATGAAGGGGCTACACTCTGAAAGCTTGTGATTTCAAATAAACCTGTTGAACTATAATCTGGTGTGTGTGACTTCAGACTTTGTCCACCCCAGTCCAACACCAGCACCTCCACATGTCCTCCAGTGGCAGATTGACTCGAGCAGCTTCATGGTCTATTCCTGCTTTTACATTTCACACCATGCACAAACCAGAGATAAACAGGCCTGTTAAAAGGTCCTTTAAAACTAACTAGAGGGAGGGGCACGTTAAAAGCACGATTTTATTTCACCTCCCCTTTTTATTGTTTCATTTTACATCTTTCTATTATTGACTTCACTCAGCAATGTTCGATCCTGATGTAGTGAGGAATCACTGGTATTTGTGAGTGAATATTGCTGTACAGAAAACTCTGTCGTGGATCTTTTATTATATGATCCTTCATTCACCACTATAATAATATCAGCATGTTCCTTTTACAGCAACGATCCTCCTGTTGAAATCCTCACTAATGGCGTGCTTGTGGTGAGTTATGCTTTTAAGTTGCTTGATTTAGTTGAAATCAGCACATATCTGTTCACTGATTACAAATGATGTTGTTTCTTATGAAAGAATGGGAGTCGGAAACTGTACTAAATGTTGGAGGTTAATTCTTTTACTTTTTAGCCCCATTTTCTTCTGATGTATTTGGATCACAGACCAAATCACAGTAGTGGTATAGCTCAGGAATCAATTCTGATTTTTGCCCCTTTCCTTTGCTCAGTTGTATTAAAAGCAGTTTGTGAGAAATTGGAACAGGTGGTTGCACCCAAATAGAGCTAAAACCTGGCACCTTTGTTCTGTACTTAAGGGTATGACATGTAATGGTGGTTTAAAGAACACAGTTGACTTATTTTGCTGGGGGAATGGCTAATTTGATGAAGGAGTAGCATTTGCACCAAACGTGGTATGAAGATGAACTTGAGGGTTAGAGTACCTTTTTATATTCAAAATGGGAAGCCAGTATGACAGGGTGTACTGTTACCATCATAAAGACCGTTCTGCATTAGTAAAATTACATTTAAAAGTTACATTCTTGGCTGAGTGGTATTATCACTGGATTATTAATCCAGAGACCCAGCTGATGTTCTGGAGACCCAGGTTTGAATCCTGCAACTGCAGATCTCAGAATTTGAATTCAATAAAAATCTGCAATTAAGAGCTTTAATTAATTACATTTTTTTGTTGACGTGTCTTTAAGACCATAAGAAATAGGAGTAGAAGCAAGCAATTTGTCCCCTCAAACCTGTTCCACTCTTCAATAGGATCATGGATGATCCAACATGCCTTGTGTCCACTTTCCTGCATTTTTCCCATAATACTTAATTTTCCTGGACTGATGAAGAATCTCTCTATCTAAGGATGCTGCCCCCACAGCTCATGTGGCAAGGAGTTCCAAAGACACTCAACCCTGTCAGAGAGGAATTTCCTATTTTACATTCGCACCACTTTATTCTGAGACTATGCACTCTGGTACTATACCCCCATGAGGGTAAACATCTCCTCAGCATTTACCCTGTCAGGCCCTTTAAGAATCCTATATGTCTCAATGAGATCACCCCCAGTTCTTCAAACCTACAATGAGTAGCATCCCAATCTGTATAGTGTTTGCTCATAATACAATCCCTCTACATTAGGGATCATCCTTGTGAACATTCTGTGAACTGCCTCCAATGAAATGATATTTTTACATAAGGGGATCAAAACTGCTCACAGTACTCCAGATGTGGTCTCACCAACACCTTGTATAGTTGTAGTAAGACATTTCCACTCTTTTACTCCACCTCCCCCCCCTACCCCTTTGAAATAAGACCCAACATTCCATAACCTTCCTGTTTACCTGTGTGCTAGCTTTATGTTTTGTGCACAAGTACCCCCAAGTGTTGCAGCTTTCTGCAGCTTTTCTCCGTTTAAATAATGCTGTAATTCTTTTGTCTTGTTGTCCCTCCCAAAATGAGGAACTTCATATTTTCCCACATTGTACTCCGTTAACCAACTTTCCGTCCATTTACTTAAGCTATCAATATCTCTCTACACTGTTTGTATCCCCCTCCACAGCCTGCTTTTCCACTTAGTTTGGTATTGTCTACAAATTTAGCTACAGTACATTCAGTTCCTTCCTCCATGCCTTTAATATGTATTGTAAACAGTTGTGGTGCCAGTACTGATTGCCAACTTGAAAAAGAATCCTTAAAGCCCACTCACTGAATCCTTCTCATTAGCCGGTTCCCTATCCTTGCCAATACACTACCTCTAACACCATGAGTTCTTATCTTATGACCTAAATCTTTTGTGAGGTACCTTGTTGAATGTCTTCTGGAGATTCATCTACTGGTTTCCCTCTGTCCATTCCGGTTGAAAATCTCTCAAATTATTCAAGCATGATTTTCCTTTCATGGAAGCCATGCTCACTCCACTTTGATTAGATTATTATTTCCAAATGTTCTGCTATTATTTCCTTAATTGATTTCAATACTTTCCCAACCATAGATGTTAGGCTAATTGGTCTGTAGTTATCACCTTCTTCCCTCCTTTTGAACAGGGGTGTTATTATTAGCAGAGATAGTAAGAACTGCCGATGCTGGAGTCTAAGATAACACAGTGTGGAGCTGGAGGAATATAGCAGGCCAGGCAGCATCAGAGGAGCAGGAAAGCTGACGTTTTGGTTCAGGACCCTCTTCAGAGGGTCCCAACCCGAAACGTCACCTTTCCTGCTCCTCTGATGCTGCCTGGACAGCTGTGTTCCTCCAGCTCCACACTGTGTTATCCCTGTTATTAGCAGTTTTCCAATCCACTGGCACTTCTCCAGAATCCAATGACTTTTGGAAAATTACAACCAATGCATCCACCATCTCTGTAGCTGCATGTTTTAGGATCCTAATATGCAAGCCATCGTATCTGCCTTTAGCCCCATTAGTTTGTTTAATACTACCTCTCTAAAGATCATGATGATGCGTACCTCCTCCCCTGTATTCTTTAGTATTAATGTGATGTTCCAGTAGCTTTCACATCAAAAACTGATATCAAATATCAACTCCTGTGCCATTTTGAAAAAGCTGTTATTGTCAGTTTTTATATTCCTTGCTAGTTTGCCCTAGAACAGGGACGGAGAGTCTGCGGCCTTTTGGGGTACTAGTTGCGACCTTTTGCCTATTTGTCTGCAAATACTAAATCCGCCCTTCTAGATCTGTGTACTATTTTAAAAATTTTTACTGGTAACCCAGTCATGTCAAAAACTAAGAACATTAAAGGAAGAGAACAGAGTATTCAATGACGAATGGGAATTGCAATTTTATGTAGTTGCTGTGAAAGATACAACGATGTGTTTGCTCGGTAACGCCATAATTGCAACATTGAAGAAATGCATACCAGCATTACGCAACTCATAAGGACCACAAATATGCTAAACTGGAAGGAGAACTCTGAAAGTCTGCACTTAAGAAAATGAAAAATCAAAAGCAGCAGCAGCAAGTATTTAAAACAATTTCAGGACAACGGACTGACATCACTGAAGTAACTTATAAAGTACTTGGAAGAAGAGATAAGCAATTTAGCGATGTGGAAATCATAAAGGAATACATTGTCGAAGTTGTAGGATGTTTAGATTCAGTTAAGATTAATAAGTACAAACAACTACCTCTTTCAAGAAGGGACCATGACTGATCAGCAACATGAATGAGCCCTCAATGGAACAGAACAACTTCATACAATATGCCAAAGTAAAGACATTTATTATTCGATCGCCTTGGATGAATCCACTGACATTACTGACTCAGCACAGGTGTTATTTTTTACTCGTGTTATAACTGCGGACTTTCATTGCCACAAGGAGTTACTGGCTTTGGGTACCCTTACGGCAATGACTCATGGAATTGACATCTTTAGTTTCATCAAAGAAAAATGCCATGAAGCGAAACTGAATTTATGTAATTTAGTAAGTGTAGGCACAGACAGTGCACCTTCCATGAGAGGAACACGTGAAAGATTGCCAGATCCAGATACTTTGATTTCCTTTCATTGTCTTTTGCATCAACAGAATCTCTGTGCCAAATCTACTATTTTAAGTGCCACATTAAATAAAATTATTGGTATTGTAAACTACATTTGAGCAAATGCATTATGGCATTGTCAATTTCGCAACATGCTTCAGCCTGATGATGAAACATTCAGTGTGGATTTGCCATATCATTTTAAAGTACGCTGGTTGTCACAAGGACAAATACTTGTAAGCTTCTTTCTTTGCAAAAACAAATCAAGATTTTTTTTTTTGGGGAACTGAATGAACCATGTGAATTGTCAAAAGAAGAAATGCTGCATTTTTGTGTTATATAATGTCAAAACAAAATGATCTGATTTTTGTTTTGCAAGGTAAAACTAAATCTATATGGGATATGCAGCTAAAAATCCAGATATTTCGGAAAAAGCTGACCTTTTTCAAAACTCTCCTTACCTGATCGGAACTTCCAGCTGAACACTTTCCTAAACTGGCAAAGATAATTAATGAACAGGATACAAGCAAATCATTAAAGAAATGCGACGTGAAAAAATACACAGTTGTTCTAGACTCCCTGATTGAAGAATACAGTGAAAGATTTGCAGATTTTGAGACACGTGATCTCACACTGAAACTAGCTTTTCAACCACACCTGGTTGATGTCTCCAAAGCACCTGATGACTTACAGATGGAACTGATTGAGCTCTCAGAAGATAATATTCTGAAGTCTCTATTTGACACTAAGAAGGATCCCACTGAAATATGGAAAAATGCCGTTGAATACCCACGTCTATGTCAACATGCTTGTTGAATGCGGTCTTGTTTGCTCACAACCTACTGTTATGAATCAATATTTTCATATGTGACACAAATTTAAAACATACTTGAGATCTCAGATGACAGATATTCACCTGGAGGACCAATTATAGCTACAGTCAAAAATGTTGGAACCAAATATCCGATTCCTATCTCGCAATAAGCAATCACGAGAAAAGTCATTGAATAAGTTTTTCACTTATTATTAGTTCTATTGTTAACTTTGCCAAACAAATAAATGTGTCTTTGCTGAATTTTTATTTTGTTTAAAGTCCTCATATAATAGCAAGCTTTAATTAAAATTAGTAAATAAGTTGACAAAAATATGGCATTTTGTTGTTAAATGTTAAATTCTCAGCATGCAGCCTTCCAGTGTAAAAAGGTTCCCCACCCCTGCCCTAGAAATTTATTTTCTCTGCCTTGATCATCTTTTTAGTCCTCCTTTGCTGGATTCTAAGTTTATCCCAGTCTTCAAGGGGCTATCACTGACTTTGGCCTCCTTTTTATGTGCGTTTTCTTTCAACTTAATACTGTTCTAACTTCCTTGGTTAACCATGGTTGGTTTATCCCACTCAGAATCTTTCTTCCTTACTGGGGTGTATTTTTGTTGAGAGTCATGAATTACTATCAAAAATGTCTGCTACTGCTTGTAACTGTCATTCCTGTTAATCTATCTGCCCAGTCCACTTTAGTCTTAAACTTTATTTAGATACAGTTGTTTCTGACCCATGTTTTTCACTGAATGTTAATTTATATTGTATTATCACCACTTTCTAAGGGATATTTTACTCTGAGGTTATTTATTAAAACTGCCTCATTCTCCATCAAAGGGGTTGGCGTATAAGAGTAGGGAAGTCTTACTACAACTGTCCAAGGTGCTGGTGAGACCACATCTGGAGTACTGTGAGCAGTTTTGATCTCTTTATATAAGATATCAATTCATTGGAGGCAATTCATAGAATGTTCACGAGGATGATCCCTAATGTAGAGGGTTTGTATTATGAGCAAACACTAAACAGATTGGGATGCTACTCACTGGAGGTTAGAAGAATGAGGGGTGATCTCATTGAGACCCATACGATTCTTAAAGGGCCTGACTGGGCAAATGCTGAGGAGATGTTTACCCTCATGGGAAAGTATAGTACCAGAGTGCATAGTCTCAGAATAAAGGGATACCAATTTAAAATAGAGATGGAATTTCCTCTTTGAAAGAATTGAGAGTCTTTGGAACTTCTTTCCACACGATAGCCTGATCCCTGATTTGCTCCATTGCATATTGCTCCAGGCAACTATCCCTAATACACTTTGAATTTGTTGTTGTAATTACCCTTTCAAATTTGATTAACCCAGTCGACATGAAGATTAAAGTCACCCATAATTATGCTGTACTCTTTTTATTTTATATATATATGCTCCAATTGTTTGATTCATATCTTTTCTCACGGAGTAACTACTGTTTCTTTGAACCCCAGTTATACTATTAACCAGGATTGTGATCCCTTCGGAACAGCTCCCCGCCGCTTCGTCTGTACTAGTGCCAGTGTCCTATAAATGTAAACACATTTCTCCCACTCCAATCTTTGAACCACGGGTTTACCTCTTTAATCGTGTTGACCCTGTGTTAGTTTGCTGGTGGCTCAGGTAGTTAATCTAAGGAGTGTGACTGCCTCCTGAAACGCAACATCCAAGTAGCTCTCCCACTCCCTGATGTGTTGCAGTGTTTGCTTCATATATGGTCACGATGAACCACAATGGTGTCCACTGGCTCCCATATCATGCAGATACAACATATTGCTTGGCCTGACATCTCTATTATATTTACGTAGTTCTTAATTTTTTTTAAAAAAAACTTCCAACTGGACTTTTAGTTTTTAATCTTTAAATTGTTTCTCCTATTTACCGTTATTCTGAAAGTAATTTATAATAGACAAATTAGCAGCTATTATCAACCAATGAACTTGTAGTTTTCCAGTTCCTTGAAAGTGGAGTCTGAGATAGACAGTGTAGTGAAGGAGGCATATTGTACGCTTGCCTTTATTGGTCAGTGCATTGAGTATAGGAGTTGGGAGGTCATGTTGCAGCTGTACAGGACATTGGTTAGGCCACTTTTGGAATACTGCATTTAATTCTAGTCTCCCTGTAATAGGAAAGATGTTGCGAAACTTGAAAGGATTCAGAAAAGATTTACAAGGATGTTGCCAGGGTTGGAGGGTTTGTGCCATAGTGAGAGGCTGAATAGGCTGGGGCTATTTTCCCTGGAGTGTTGGAGGGGTGATCTTACAGGTTTATAAATGAATAGGATGTATAATCAAGGCCTTTTCCCCAAGGTAGGGGAGTCCAAAACTACAGGGCATAGGTTTTAAGTAGAGAGGGGAAAGATTTAAAAGGGACCCTAGGGGCAACATTTTTTGCACACAGCGTGGTGCATGCATGGAATGAGCTGCCAGAGGAGGTGGTGGAGGCTTGTACAATAGCAACATTCAAAAGGCATCTGGGTGGGGTATATTAATTGGAAGAGTTTAGAGCGATATGGGCCAAAAGCTGGCAAATGGGACTAGATAAGTTTAGGATATCTGGTTGACGTGGTCGAGTTGGACCGAAGGGTCTGTTTCTGTGCTGTGCATCTTTATGACTCTGTGATGTCACTTTTTGTTACATACTGGGCTCCCAATCCTGGGCTTCAATTTATTCTGTTTCTAAATAAAATCTTATAAACTGTGCACCAAAAAATGCAAAAAGCTTCTCTTCCCATTTGTGCTGAATTTCCATACTGCTCCAGAATCCCTGAAAGATATGCTCATTTGGGTTATGTTTCACTCTGGATGCAATTGTTCATTACTGACCATGTGTAGCTTACTGATCGTGGTACGGATGAGATTGTTGTTCACTTAAGTGAGAATATGTACAGCACTGGCTTACCTTTACTTGCTTCCTTACATAATTCAGATGACCAGTCACTGATGAAAATGACAGTGACTCCTGACATTAACAGAGGCAAAAAGGCAAGCATGCAGTGAAATTATATCTAATAGGTAACCCAGTACCTGTAATCCACAGCCTGTACATTTGCTTTCTCCTGCGTATTTTTATTCTGAAATAATGTACTTTCTGTTTTCCTTCTTTGACTAGGCTCAACCCTGTACTTGTGTGGAAACCAAAGTGAAGAAGGTCAACAATCTCCACCAGGTAGGCACAGGTAAGTGCTGAAGCACTTGGCAAGTGTGTTATAGGTCTGTGTTCTTCCTTATAGGCTTATATCTTACTGCCCAAAACCACAAACAAATATTTATTGATGTTAATAAATTAAAGAACTCCGTGTATGCTGGAAATCTCAAACAAAAACAGAAATTGCTGGAGAAACTCGGTGGGTCTAGCAGCATCTGCGGAGCGAAAAGAGGTAACATTTTGAGTCCAGTGACCATTCTTCAGAACTGACAGCAACTAAGAAAATGTTGTATTTATCTTGATGACAGTGGGGGGAGGAGTGAGTGGCTAAGTAGAAATGGTGCCCAGGGAGAGAGAGAGGAAAAATGTTAGGCATACAAACAGATTAATGATGATAAGCCAGGGAAGAAGAAAAGCTAAATAGGTGATAGTGGGAACCATGGGTGAAAAAGGGTTGGCTATGCTGAAAGTAACCCATGTCACTAATGGACCTAGGTTGTAGGGGTTGGTAAAAGACATGGAAAGAGCTGTTCAGAATCTTTAAATTAATGAACTCAACATTGAATCCGGAAGGACTGTCAGCATTAACAGATACTGCCAAGCCCACTCAGATTGGTTTTTATTTCTGTTTTTATATTTTTTTGATGTTGTTTAACTAAATGAAGCAGAGACTGAAAGCTACCATTTATAATAATTGCATTTAGCAGGAGCATCTTATGCAATGCCTCTCGGGTTCCATAGGAAAACTTCAAAAACATTACAGCTGTTGAGCTCAAAGTTCTTATACCTACTTTATAAAACATGTTTTGCACTCTAATGTGTGACAACTCACATTTCAACATCGTCTAATGCCTATTTACTATTAGAATAGAATAGAATGTCCTTAATTGCCACATGTACTCCAGTACAGAAGTACAGTGAAAAGTTTTTTTTTACAATGGCTGCCTTTAATGGCGCCAACTTAGGTACAAGTACCTAGATACAAATCTTACAGGTTAAAAAATAGTGTTGATACAGAGTAGAAAAGAATATAGATTAGCATGAAACAATGAAGAAGTCCAGAATGATAATAAGTGACCGTAAATACTTAATTACTCGTCCGTGCCCTCAGGCCCCAGAGCACAAGGCCACACTGCCTCCACGTGCTGGTCTCCATTCAGTACTCTCCCCGCTGCGGGACCTGGCCCCTGCTCACCCCACTCCTCAACTCCACTCTCCAGGTAGGGCGGGATGGTGAAGAAAAGAAAAGCTACAAAGAGGAGAAGAAAAAAGGAAAAAGGCCTGGCGAGCAGAGGGGATCCGACCAGAGCGTCCTACTCTGCAGCCATCTTAGAATCCCTACAGTGTGGAAACAGGCCCTTCGGCCCAACAAGTCCACACGGACCCTCAGAGCATCCCACCCAGACCCATCGCCCTATACCTCACCTCATCTACACATCCCTGGACACTGTGGGCAATTTAGCATGGCCAATCCATCTAACCTGCACATCTTTGGACTGTGGGGAGAAACCCACGCGGACACAGGGAGAATGTGCAAACTCCACACAGACAGTGGCCGGAGAGTGGAATTGAACCTGGCTCCCTGGCAGTGTGAGGCAGCGGTGCTAACCACTGAGCCACCGTGCTGCCTGTAAGTTTTGTGTGACAATAATTTGATTATCTTGTCCTTGGCAAGGTATAATTCTAATTTTCCTTTCCTTGGTAAGGTGACTTTTAAGAACTTGTAAATGGTAATAAAAGCAGCTTCCTTAACATTTCCTGTCAGCTGAAGACTGTTTGTTTGTTTCTGCCATTGTTTTCACTGACTTGCATTGGACCCCAGTCTGGTGATGCAAAAATTTTCAAAGTGTCGAGCTGGAGGAAC